TCCTCGGCCTACGAGAAGTTTTTTGGATGGGGTCCTGTCGACGAGCCTGACGTTTATCCATCTAATTTATATTAATAATGTAATCAAAGAATCACTAAAGACTTTGATGATGGTCCTTTAAAGGTTGAATCTGTTATCGAGTAAATATTCGGAGAAAAATTATGGTCTTATATATACACAAAAAAAATTTCGAAAATATTTATGGTACAGTGAGCGCCCGGACAATGTCACGGTGAAACTAAAAATTTACAAATTGACAAATTTGGTAGTAAACCACTGTTACCACAAGTTTCGTAAAAAAAATTTGTTTTTTTTTTTTTTTTTGATTATTACAAATGTTATTGCAAAAAAGCAAAAAAAAAGCAAAAAAAAAGCAAAAAAAAATAAAATAGTTGATAGAACTCTATATATCCTCAAATCCGATTGCTCTTATTATTTCTATAATTTGAATATGTAAACAAGATCGTTTCACACAGTACGGGGTCTACTGCGGAGTGTCTACGGAACGGCATGGATTGACGTTCTACGTCACATCCTTGGTGAATCTTTAGTAAAAAAAAAACAAAAAAAAACATTACCACAGACGTTGCTTTTTTGACCACACGTCACTTCCGTGAGATGCACTTGTTTGTCAGGCTTAACATGCACAAGACGCGTATTTTAAAATTGGGTTCGTCAGATTTTAACGAAAAATGTTCTGGATGTATGCGATGTTGCTATTTTTCCCAAATCTTCACGAGAGGAGAGACAGGTTTCAAATTGTCCTGTGATGACTGGATTACGCAGATCACCGTCACTCTGTTGAAAAGAAACCGATTATGTGACCACGATTTTCTCATTATTCAAAGCCAGTTGACCTTAGATTGATGAATAATCTTTTTTTTTCTTTTGCAATGCATTGTGGCGCACTCCGATCACTTTGGAATATCGATAAGCAACTCATTGTTAACTTTTTTTTTTTTCTTTACGAGATTATTATGTATAAATATTTGTGTGAACCTTCAAATTCACAAGAAAGCACTGACTGCATATATTTGCTTGAAAGGGAAAAGGTGAAATTGAAAGTCAAATAATTCTGGTGGATTGCTTGTCATAAATAAAATATCAAATCAAATCAGATCAATAGTAACCTACTTTTTCTTTATCACAAATCAGTAAAATTTTGATAACCTCATAGCATAGCATAAAATCCGAATCCGACTAGCATTGTTATTGTTATTAATTTCAAAAATTCAAGTCGACCAGTGGAAATAATAAGATTAGGCAAGGTGAACTTTCTTTTTTGGGTAAGCGTGAATTTTTCAAACGATTATTTTTACGGTGGGTCCATATCCTAGAATAGTTAGTTATTATTCTGAAGAAACAATAATGTCCTGTCGGACGTTAATGGTATTCGTGACTTTCTTTCAAGCCTAGCATACAGTCACGATCTATTTAATCCATAAAAAAACGTAGAGAGAGCTGTGAACAGAATACTTTTTTGACATAGATTTATTGCTTGCTAAATAATTCACACCTAACCTACTATTAATATAAAAATACATTCACACCATATATACTCGGTGTATACACAGTTAACAAAAGAATAAAGGGATAGGTTTAATTAAAAAAATGACTTGGATAAAATTAGAAAAAATTTTTAAATTCTGAAAATTGTCCTTAATTAAGTACATGAAAGATCTTTCCTTATAAGTCTCATGTTCATTATGTTTGGTAATAATCATAAAGTACAATTTATAAATTAGAATAACGATAATATATAGATCGTGAAAACTCTAATATAAAACATAAAATCAAATGATAATTACATTAAACTTGATCGTAATGTGTTAAAATTTCTTCAAGCGATTCATGATTGTTAAATATTTTATATTTCCAATGGAGGATCACTAACAGTTGTTTCTCGAACCTTCAAAAAAACCGACTCTTTCGTTTCGTTCATTTTTCCATAGTCAGTAGAATTGCTAGCGAGACTACCCTCGAATCCACTATCTTCCACACCATACGCAAATTCCTTGTCATGCAATAACTCGGCATCGTCTGAAATGTGGAAGCCTGGATTGATTGACGGATGGAAATCTCGACCTATTGATGGTGTGTCGGAACCGACCAGTAAGCTAAGTTGACTGGATAACGTTCCGTTATTAGGTCGGTGAAACTTAAGAGGATCCGAATGTTCGCTAGTAAATTGATCATATTCTTCATCATGATATTGATGAATATTACGTGAATTATCGCGTGTATTCCTCCTACTAATGGTGGGTTTAATGATAAACTCGCGTTCCTCGTCAACATCGTCCGTTATTGTCGATAGTGGCGATCGAATTTTCACTCCATTAGTACTATACATGTCTTCATTGGATAAGTCAATTGTTGACGATGTTGCTACACTATTGGGTTCGGGTATTGGATTGATAATGGGAACTGGCGGGAGAACACTAAATATTTCGGAAGGATGATCCGCAGTTGGATGGGGGCAAAAAGGATCGGTCCCTTGGTTTATCATCTTGAGTGATGACAAATATAAAAAATTTTAGTGATATTACGGAATACCACCGTAAGGAGAAAACAATGAGAACCTTACCCCTTCCAGAATCGGATCAGAAACTCCTTTATTATAGATCCGTTCGTAGATATCTACCTCGGCTCTGATCACTGTTGACACTTTGGATAGAATGAAGCTGTGATTATTTTGTTCTGTCTCCAGAGTTTGCCGATAATATTCTGTCTTTAACCTATCCAATTCTTCCACTTGTCTTGTTAAGTCTTGAAGCGCCTTTTGTATATTGCATTATTTCAGTTAAATGAACATAGTATTACATGCACTTGCAATTGTTATAATACGCACCCTACGAAATTGAGAGAGATCTATTGAAAAAAAAGTTTGATTAATATATAAAATCCATCAATAACAAATAGATGATTCCTCGCGAATAACAATTTTTCTACCTCTCTGACGTTTACGACCGCTACGTAAATTCTCCGCCTCCGTCTCTTTTATTCTTTTGCTCATCTCGTTCAATGATTTCTCATAATTTTCTTCAGACATGAGAACGGTTGCTTTGTGAACGTCAAGATTCTCCAACAACGGAATC